CACATAACTGTGTCACTCGTTTTCTCCCACATTTATACAGTAGTCTACGAAATGCACAGGTTGCACATATAATTATAAATGGAAGGAAATTTAAATGTTCTTATGTTCTCAAGGTAGGGTCTTGCGTCAAATCGAGCTGCTATGTTTTAGATGTGTTCTTGTTGTCCGACAACGACCCGAGAGAAATTATGAACTGCAGCCTATGAAGCGAAGCCTTCCCATATTTTGCTGTGCATTCCTCCTAGGAATGAATCCATATTCCACACCGGGGCTAAAACTGGAGAAAGGTGATTTGTAGCCCACGACGAATAGAGTGAGTGCGTGAGTTTAGGTTTACGCTGTTTTAGCAATATTCCAGCAATATCACGGCGGGGGGACACCAGAAATGGGCTTCACACATTGTACCCATGTGGGAAATCGAACCCGGGTCGTCAGCGTGACGAGCGAACGCTTTAACCACTGGGCTAACTCACCGCCCCACACTGAAGAGAGTTCTGTTTGCCGGAATCTAAGCATCTACATTTGTGAAGATGTTGTTTTGAATTTCTCTCTTGGACAGACAGTTAGTGATATTTCAAGAGTTATCAACATCAGCTTTGTATGGAATTCCAGAACTGTTGTCGCCCGTATTAATTCATACAAATAGTGTCTGAAGTGCGACAATGCGACAATTTGATTCCATAGCTTCAAGAAAATATTCATTTTCCTGAAATAGTTCTCTTCAGTTTTGCCACTTTCAGCTAATTTTTTAAAGAATAAGTATAAGTTGATTGTACAGGCAGAACATTCCTATCTTTATTCTATTAGTAACACGGGTTCTTGATTTCGGAGAAACAGGCCATTTTATGAGGCTACCATGTTTAACTAGAATGACCCTTCCTAGAATGTTACTCATTCCTGTCACTACCACCACAGAGCAGATGGCTACAGTGAAATGGTTGACTTCTATTTCTTGTTTTATACCTAGGATATAGGAGAACGTTTGAAGTGTGCCAAAGTAAGGGTAGAGGGAAAGTAAAGATCAGAAATAACTTTATTATTTAGTTGTAATTTTGGTATTTTTTGCATTATATATAAAACAAACAAAAAATAGATACATTGTTAGTAGAAAAACATCTTTTAAGACATTTAATAGTTGAATAACTTCAGAGATAGGAGGACATGTTACTTATTCATGTGAAAATGAATAGTTCTAAAACCATGGACAACCCTCTGTAATAGAAATAAAACAATAAGGCAATTCTGCATTTTCCGGAGATGAAGTCTCGAGTATCGGCTGAAACAGGTTTCTGATGGCGGACGGAGGCTAAATAGTGATGAAAGGTTATGTGAGGATACCGGGTGTTCACGAAAGAGCATGTACTGTAACACCCACCTTTAACACAGTGTTTTAGTTAGAATGTTAGAGCCAGTGACAAAGGAGATATAAAGTGATTGTGGAAAGGTCATACTTGCCACAGCATCCCGCAGCGAGTTGACAGATGACGTAACCTTTAATTAAAAGCTTAGTTGTAAGCAAAACGTTTTTTCCATGAAATTTGAACACTAAGTGGCTTGCTCTAAATGACCAAGATAACAGAGCAATCTAGACGTCTGAAGTGTCAACTAATGGTATTCTGTTCGAAAATTGAATTCACCCGTCTTGTCGCCCAGCAAGGCCAAAAGGCTGTTGCCATTTGAAATGTCTCATCACAGTTATAGGTAAGTCACAGAGTGTGGGTCCTCAGTTATTTCTTTGAAGTTCACCTCTGGTGCACAGCACTGGTGAAGATACCCATTTACCGTGTTTAAAAGAAAGAAGGTTTGTTCGTATATATGAAAGTAAGATAGGTTTCAATGGACGCCATTGCATTTTTGTGCGTATAATAAGATTTTTCTCTGAGACTATTTTGCTACACCTATCAGCCTAAAGTCTATTTAAAAAGATTCTATTTCAGTCTCAGAACATATATTCACTTGTACGAAACACTAATAGTACAGACGCTTGGTTATTATCTGACTACGTCAGTGACACACGAGTGGTGTTATGAGTGACTGAGTTGTAATGATGAACGGGGCAGAGGTCAACATGCTGTACACAGACGAATGGCGATTGATCACAACACTGTATCAGGTGTTGCAGGCGCTGTGTCAGACCAGATGATAGATCGACTGCCTTATCAGTAGCACGACACGTGTCTCTGCACAAACATAGAGCTGTTGTAGACTGAGTTGAGAAGTGAGGGTTGTTACAGTGGCATCAAATAGGTTGGGCATACCATCTGGTGACATCAACACTGTTTATCATACTTCCTAGTAATTATTTGTCATGTTTGTGAGTGCATGAAGTGATGAACATACAGTGATGTTTTGTGTGCGTGAAGTGGTAAACATATTGTGTGGTTTTCTGTGCATGAAGTGGTGAACATACGTTGATGTTTTGTGTCCATGAAGTGTCATGTCGCGTGGTAGTGTGTCCAGGTAGTGTCATGTCGCGTGGTGGGGTGTCCAGGTAGTGTCATGTCGCGTGGTAGTGTGTCCAGGTAGTGTGATGTCGCGTGGTGGGGTGTCCAGGTAGTGTTATGTCGCGTGGTGGGGTGTCCAGGTAGTGTATGTCGCGTGGTGTGTGGTTATGTCGCGTGGTGGTGTGTCCCAGGTAGTGCGTGGTGGTGTGTCCAGGTAGTGTGCGTGCGTGGTGGTGTCCAGGTAGTGTTATGTCGCGTGGTGGGGTGTCCAGGTAGTGTTATGTCGCGTGGTGGTGTGTCCAGGTAGTGTTATGTCGCGGTGGGGGTGTCCAGGTAGTGTCATGTCGCGTGGTGGTGTGTCCAGGTAGTGTTATGTCGCGTGGTGGGGTGTCCAGGTAGTGTTATGTCGCGTGGTGGGGTGTCCAGGTAGTGTTATGTCGCGTGGTGGGGTGTCCAGGTAGTGTTATGTCGCGTGGTGGGGTGTCCAGGTAGTGTTATGTCGCGTGGTGGTGTGTCCAGGTAGTGTTATGGTGTGGTGGGGTGTCCAGGTAGTGTTATGTCGCGTGGTGGTGTGTCCAGGTAGTGTATGTCGCGTGGTGGTGTGTCCAGGCGTGTCGCGTGGTGGGGTGTCCAGGTAGTGTCATGTCGCGTGGTGGTGTGTCCAGGTAGTGTTATGTCGCGTGGTGGTGTGTCCAGGTAGTGTGATGTCGCGTGGTGGGGTGTCCAGGTGGTGTCATGTCGCGTGGTGGGGTGTCCAGGTGGTGTCATGTCGCGTGGTGGTGTGTCCAGGTAGTGTTATGTCGCGTGGTGGGGTGTCCAGGTAGTGTCATGTCTCATGATGATGTATTCAGTGATAAAAGTAAAAATGCATGCATTGTGCTGATCCTCTTATCTCTCAGCAAATTGAATCAATGGCAGCATAGCAACGCAAAGTTAATGAAATATCGATTAGCAATGAATACATTCAACGTCTCGTATATAACTACAAATTTATGTAGGCATAATGTTATGTATTAATCAATCACTAATGTATGTCGCTTCTGAAACCTCGCTTGGTCTCGTGACGTTTGAATAGTATGTCCATCTGTAAGGAGGCGTATATTGAGAAGAACGGCTCGCGTCTCCAAACGTCAAATCAAACTGTTTACTATACTTTGATGAGAAACGAAAAGGTTATATGCCATTTGGACTGAATAAATGGGTAATAACAAAGACATTACATTAAAAATGTTTCATCAGTTTTCGGCTGCCGACACATGATTTTACAGATAAATGTTATATTTGGTTCTGCCTTAACTCAGATGTGGCCTTTGAAGTCTTTGTACATGCTCCCTGTTTGTGTTGTGTAAACATGTTTTAATCTACACATATATTCACTCTCAGTACTGACTCCGCAGTCACCTGATGAAGGAGCAAGAATTAGCTCGGAAACGTCGTGTAAAGAATAGACATAAGTTGTTATCCATAAAACGTGTGATGTATTCATATATGACCTCTCACAAGAAATACAGATGAATGATAAGATCACAGGTCAAACATACATACACACACACGCACACACATAAATGGCTAGACACAGCTCCCCCCCTCCCCCTTGAACATACCCTCAACACATACGCGCGCGCGCACATGCACATACACTTCCCCAAACCACACAGAGGACCCGCGCGCACACATACACACACACACGCTTTCCAAAACACACACGCACACACGCATACACAAAACAGTGTATTTGTTACACACGTACATGTAAAATGTCTGCTTATCTCAATGTAGAGATATGCATCTGCGTCAAGGAGAAAGAAATAAGGCGTGACTATCTATGTTGTGACGTTCTGTATTGCCCAACTACCTATAAAACAGCATCACGCTCCCCTGGTCTTCCACACCAAGTGACTTCTTGTGTACACCACCAGAATCATTATAATCCCTATAAGTCATCAGCTTTAATTACATTTATGTAATCACAGTAACTTTTTACTGTAGAGTTTTGGTTGACAGAACATAAAATCTATCCAAGGCACACAATACAGTAATTCCTAATGGGTTTGTCAGGTGAGATAAATCATCCCGATAAAAGGTAATCTATACTTGATTTACGAGAGATTGAAGTGCATTTCTCGATCGTTATGTTTACAACGGCTTCCTAATATCCTTTCCTGAAAGCCTGCAAAGCAGCCATTGAAGTGATAAAGTGAGTGTCACTTGACCGAGATAGAAATGGGGCAAGTCTGGCCGACATATCATCGCCGCATCCTTCTGTCGCTGCATATTGATGCTGAGTAATGGCAGCTTTGGTTGATCAGCTGTTCTACGTCCCATAGTTCTGAAAGAGTGCGGAATATCTTCATTTTGTTCAAACCGGTCTAAAAGGTGAAACCAGGAAATGCAGCAATCAACGAAATCAGCATTGGAAATAATGAGAAGAGAGAGGTTTATTGTGTAATAAAATATGCACTGAATATAATTTGCGAGAGTTCAGGTCTCGTTACCAACACCGTGTTACGTTCTTCACCTGTTAACCGTACTGAAAGTTCATGTTCTATGACATCATCAACCTGTTCTAAGATGTACGTGGGTAAGGTAGGTAAGGATCATCGTTAAAGCACGGTAACCACGTACAGGTTTGATTATGACGTTGTTCCTGGTGACATTAGCCGAGCACGCCGTTGAAAGCTGACGCCATTTAGTAACCAGGAATGCATAGACACGCTGTGTACAAGTGTGCTTCAGTGTGCCAGACGAAGGCAACACAAGGATGTCACGTAGCGGTGCATTGTGCGTAAAGAACAGAGAACAATGTTCTCGGATGTGTTGATTTCTGTGATTTAGTGATGTATGAGATAGTTCCATGCTTTTCTGAGTGATGTATGGGATAGTTCCCTGCTTTTCTGAGTGATGTATGGGATAGTTCCCTGTTTTTCTGAGTGATGTATGGGATAGTTCCCTGCTTTTCTGAGTGATGTATGGGATAGTTCCCTGTTTTTCTGAGTGATGTATAGGGTAGTTCCCTGCCTGTGTGTGTATATAGGATAGCTCTCTGCCTCTGTGTCTGTATATAGGATAGTTCTCTGCCTGTGTGTGTATATATAGGATAGTTCTTTGCCTCTGTGTGTGTATATATAGGATAGTTCTCTGCCTCTGTGTGTGTATATAGGATTGTTCCCTACTTTTCTGAGTGATTTGTGGGATAGTTACTTACTTCTGTGAGTGATGTATGGGGTAGTTCCCTATACTTCAATATGTGATGTATGGGATAGTTCCTTGCTTTTGTGAGTGATGTATGGGGTACTTCCCTATACTTCAATATGTGATGTATGGGATAGTTCCTTGCTTTTGTGAGTGATGTATGGGGTACTTCCCTATACTTCAATATGTGATGTATGGGATAGTTCCTTGCTTTTGTGAGTGATGTATGTACTTCCCTATACTTCAATATGTGATGTATGGGATAGTTACTTCAATATGTGATGTATGGGATAGTTCCTTGCTTTTGTGAGTGATGTATGGGGTAGTTCCCTATACTTCAATATGTGATGTATGGGATAGTTCCTTGCTTTTGTGAGTGATGTATGGGGTACTTCCCTATACTTCAATATGTGATGTATGGGATAGTTCCTTGTCTTTGTGAGTGATGTATGGGGTACTTCCCTATACTTCAATATGTGATGTATGGGATAGTTCCTTGTATTTTGTGAGTGATGTATGGGAAAGTTCCCTATACTTCAATGAGTGATGATGTATGGGATAGTTCCTTGCTTTTGTGGAGTGATGTATGGGGTAGTTCCCTGTATTTCAATATGTGATGTATGGGATAGTTCCTTGCTTTTGTGAGTGATGTATGGGGTAGTTCCCTATGTATTCAATATGTGATGTATGGGATAGTTCCTTGTATTTGTGAGTGATGTATGGGGTAGTTCCCCTATACTTCAATATGTGATGTATGGGATAGTTCCTGTATTTGTGAGTGATATATAGGATAGTTCCTTGTTTTGTGAGTGATGTATGGGATAGTTCCCTATGCCCTTCAATATGTGATAATATGGGATAGTTCCTTGCTTTTGTGAGTGATGTATGGGGTAGTTCCCTATACTTCAATATGTGATGTATGGGATAGTTCCTTGCTTTTGTGAGTGATGTATGGGGTACTTCCTTATACTTCAATATGTGATGTATGGGATAGTTCCTTGTATTTTGTGAGTGATGTATGGGGTAGTTCCCTATGTATCAATATGTGATGTATGGGATAGTTCCTTGCTTTTGTGAGTGATGTATGGGGTAGTTCCCTATACTTCAATATGTGATGTATGGGATAGTTCCTTGCTTTTGTGAGTGATGTATGGGGTAGTTCCCTATACTTCAATATGTGATGTATGGGATAGTTCCTTGCTTTTGTGAGTGATGTATGGGGTAGTTCCTTATACTTCAATATGTGATGTATGGGATAGTTCCTTGTATTTGTGAGTGATGTATGGGGTAGTTCCTTGTATTTGTGAGTGATGTATGGGGTAGTTCCCTATACTTCAATATGTGATGTATGGGATAGTTCCTTGCTTTTGTGAGTGATGTATGGGGTAGTTCCCTATACTTCAATATGTGATGTATGGGATAGTTCCTTGTATTTGTGAGTGATGTATGGGGTAGTTCCCTATACTTCAATATGTGATGTATGGGATAGTTCCTTGCTTTTGTGAGTGATGTATGGGAAAGTTCCCTATACTTCAATATGTGATGTATGGGATAGTTCCTTGCTTTTGTGAGTGATGTATGGGAAAGTTCCCTACTGTATGTGACATATGGGATTGTTCCCTGCCTTTGTCTGTGTATATAGGGTAGTTCCCTGCCTTTGTGTGTGTATATAGGGTAGTTCCCTGCGCCTGTGTGTGTATATAGGATAGTTCTCTGCCTCTGTGTCTGTATATAGGATAGTTCTCTGCCTGTGTGTGTATATATAAGATAGTTCTTTGCCTCTGTGTGTGTATATATAGGATAGTTCTCTGCCTCTGTGTGTGTATATAGGATTGTTCCCTTCCTCTGTGTGTGTATATAGGATAGTTCTTTGCCTCTGTGTCTGTATATAGGATAGTTCCCTGCCTCTGTGTGTGTATATAGGATTGTTCCCTTCCTCTGTGTGTGTATATAGGATAGTTCTCTGTTTCTGGATATAGGATTGTTCCCTGCCTCTGTGTCTGTATATAGGACTGTTCCCTTCCTCTGTGTGTGTATATAGGATAGTTCTCGGCCACTGTGTCTGTATATAGGATTGTTCCCTTCCTCTGTGTCTGTAAATATGATTGTTCCCTTCCTCTCTGTGTGTATGTAGGATAGTTCCCTGCCTTTGTGTGTGTATATAGGATAGCTCTCTGCCTCTGTGTCTGTACGTAGGATAGTTCTCTGCCTCTGTGTGTGTACATATGATAGTTCTTTGCCTCTGTGTCTGTATATAAGATAGGATATGGGATAGTTCCCCTACTTTTGTGAGTTATGTATGGGATTGTTCCTTACTTTTGTGTGTGATGTATGGGAATGTTCTCTGCTACTGTGTGTGATGTATGGGATATTTCCCTGCTTTTGTGTGTGATATATGAGATAGTTCCCCGCCTCTGTGTATGATATATTGGGTAATTCCCGGTCTCTGTAGTGGCATATGGGATAGTTAACAACATGTGTGTGTGATGTAGACATTTAACACAGTTTTATTTCACTCATCTGTGTGACTGTAAGCAGAGATGTGTTTAGAGAGTTTTAAAATATATCCTCTTCTAAGTTAACCAGCTGGATTCTAAGGGGCCGGCAGATGAACCTGCAGCCAGACTCCTAAATTAGACCTCTACCATGCATTCATGCACACAATTTCCGGTGACGTCAGACGATAACTTGTAAAATTAAGAGCTACTTCCGGTTGCAACTTCAACACAATATCCTTCCAACATGTAGATATCCAGAACATGTCAGCCTGACACTGTATCGTGGCACAACATGACTATCCGAGACAAGGTTTAAAACGTATTTCCGCTATGACTAACTTTGCAAGTGTAGTCATATGTAACAGACGTCTGCGTTTACACACGCAAACCTGTCCGTAGCATATAGTCCTGCACAGAATAGGTCTTACGAGAGTCAGCTAACCACCAACTTTCAGCTAAATGCCTGTCCGTGGCCAGTTGCCAGTGCCAGATTGGCTGGACTAAGCAATCTATCCCGCCTATCTTGTCATAGGGTCCTAAATATTGCTTATACATGACATGCATTAGGAGATAACTGATTGTTACATGTATCCGACTGTTAGAGGACTGTTAGAGGACTGTTAGAGGACTGATGACCTTGCTGTGGCTAGTGATGTTGTCTGTCGGCTATGACCACCGGCCGCGTGGTCAGCTGAAGACTTACGCCGCTTCTGTCCAGTAATAACCTGAACGCACACAGGAGGAGCAGCGACAACGTCTCGAGGGATGGCATATATTATACTAGTATATATACATGGGGCTACACTTGTGATTGTTACCTTGTGATTTATCCCAAGTTGTAGTTTTAGTACACTAGAGAAATCAGATTGTTTGCCAATTTGTAGACAGAGGATATTGTCTGGAACTCTGTCTGTAGACAACGTACCATGTCTGGAAGTGAGAATATTGGTTATAACTATCTTTACGTCTGCTTGCATTGAAAACGTACCGATGAATTTCACTTTAAACAAAAACGTAAAAAGTGAAATTAAGATTGCGAATCCTCATAATTTTATAGTGCCAATTGAACATTTAAATCTCAGAATTTGATACTTAGGGTAAAAGTTGTTTAACGAACGATCATGGTTTCAATTCGCTATTATTAGTTTGTATTACAAGAGGGCATGCATATTAAATGAAACACCGAGAACAAATAGGGTTAGTCTAAGTCAACGCTCATCACGTACCGCACGTGCATTTGTCTCACTGTTCCAACTACTGCCCTTCTAGTACAAACCAATACTAGCGATTTGAATCTGTTATCGTTTGTTAAACAACTTTTATTCTCAGTTGAATGAAATTCTGAGATCTAAATGTTCAATTGGCAAGGTAAAATTATGAGGATTTATTCACTTTATTCGATTTACATTTTTTGTTTAAAGTGAAATTCATTGGTACGTTTTCACTGCAAACAGACTATAGAGTGGTTTGTATGGGATGATGCTGTATGATCCTGGGTCTGTATGGAACTCCAGGTCTGTAGTGTTGGCTGATCCTCTATTGTGGGAGGCTGATGTTCTGTTGGGTGAGTGAGTGAGTGTTACGCCGCACTCAGCAATATTCCAGCTCTATGGCGGCTGTCTGTAAATAATCGAGTCTTGACCAGACAATTCAGTGATCAACAGCATGAGCATCGATCTACACAACTGGGATACGATGGCATGTGTCAAGCAAGTCAACGAGCCTGACCACCGATCCCATTAGTCGCCTTTTAGAAGCATGGGTTACTGAAGATCAATTCAAACCCGGATCTTCACGGGTCTTCTGTTGGATGAGGCTGTGTCAGGTCAGGCCATATGATGTAGAGTGGACATTGTAACGTAAATACTTTCATTGC